GCTTCTGACTGCACATCGCCGTCGTTGAGGCTTCAGCAAGACACATGCAACACAAGAGGTACAGTGCCTCCCAGTCCTGAATTTGCACGGTTCGGTGTCCATCAGTTTCCCGAGATGAGATAAGACAAGGCACATCGAGGCACCAAGGAGTCTGCGCTCTCTAGACGCATGGCAGGCCTTCGCCATTTAAGCCCACACCCTTCAGCCAATTGTCTGTAATCTCCTAAGTCCCGAAGTGCCGTGGCAGCTTCATGGGAGCTGGAAAAAGCGGCGGCCTCATTTCGGAGCTTGGCAGGTGAGTCGCGGGCCCTTGCTGAACCGCGGTCTCATCTCAGGCGTGCATGTGTTACTGGGTGGTCAAATGAAAATAAGGTGCCAAACCAGCGGCAAAGTGCTCCCCCACCGTTCGCGGAAGAGTATTTGGCGATCCTTCCAGCAGCAAATTACCGGACGACGTTTCAGTTCTGGCCTTCTCAGCTTCCAGGTATGAAAAACCTGCTGCACCGTCAGCGGGGAGGCGTCCCACGCAAATGAGTGTTGCTTCGGCTCCACAGACCCGCCTGAAGCCGCATGACAGTTGTTCCGAAGTTCAGAAGCTTTCAGTCGTGACACGGGTCGCCACGGCCTGGTGATTTCTGTCGCTGTTGTGCGATGCTTGCCCCATGCGCAAACAGCTTCAGTTCGGATTTTTGGAGTGAAAGTCCGCCGAAATCCCTGCTGTTTTTGCTTAAAGTTTGACTTTGGGTTGAAACCCACCGAACTTCCTGCACCCGCAGGTTGGAACGGAAACTAACCGAAGTTCACTACGCCAAAAGCTTTAAACCACTTTACACCCGTCCGGTCCTGCCCATGCTCTGTTCACCACAGAAACACTCTCACATGCTTTGGCGAGTGAAACTTGGCTTCGCACTTTTCCAAATCCTCATGGCCCCCAGGGGTCCCCAGAAACTGTCACGGATCCGCAGAGACACCAGAGGCGATGACTGGGTTTTCGGGCAAAGTTCTGGGCAGAGAGGCACAGATTCTTTCACTAATAACGGGATCGTCAGGAAGATGACGCCGACTGGCTGACTGGCTGTTTGCAAAAATCGAAGTCGGGAGTCAAGTTCGTTCCTTGCAGCTCTGCGGTAGGACAGCCTGGCAAACGCTGAGCTTGCAACCTAAACCAAAACCTTCTCCCAACCTCTGAGGAAAGCTTTGAGACCCCGCTGAGAAGCCAGAAACCCTGAGATCTCACCTCTCTTTGCAGGGCCTGGGAATCCTCAGGCCAGGCGCCTGGCCGCTGATGTGCGAACTTGCACAGAGTCTCGTGAAGATGTGTGCAATCCATGAGCAGTTTCAATGCGCACATTGCAAAAAATCAAGGAAATTTTGCTGAAGTCAGCAACTTTGAGAGCCCTTTGCGAGGCTCAAAGGACAGCGCAGGACTTCGGGCAACTGCTTCGAAGGAGGAGTCCGCTCCTCAAGTGGCCAGGCACCAGGTCCAACTTCCGCTTTCCGAAGGCGCAGAACAAGTGCCGCAGGCCCCGACCCAGCGGCAGCGCCAGCGGCAGCGCCCCGCGCCATGCGTCGGCGAAGGCATCTGCGTCGAGTTGCTGCAGGGCTGCTTGTGCACATCCCGGCGAAAGACGCTCTGATCATCCACAATGACTGTCACTTGTGCCTTTGTTTTGGCCGTATGCGGGTCTTGGCACTGCATCAGCAGGCAACGCTGAAATGAGCGTGACTGGTGCCACAACACAACTCAATCCAGTCGCAAGCAGCACAGAGTCACACTACTGTTAACAGTGTGTTCGCACTTTTGCCGAAGTTGCAATTTTGCCCAGTCCTTGGGGTTACATTTACAGTTGCCTGGGCGGACAGCTTCACTGACACTTGTCCGGCATGCTCACCGTCCGTGTGGACCCCTGAATCCAGATCTGTCCAGGTGATGAACGTTGCCGAGCTTGCTCCAGGCGATGATGAGGCAGGTACGGTCCTGCGTCGAGAAGCTGATCCGATGCCCCAAGACTAAGACGGATCATGTGAGGTCGAGCGGAGCTTCAAAGAGGAGATGCACTCTGCGAGGCAGGGGTTGAGGGCTTCTGCTGGGCTTTCGGTGACTGAATTTCGCTTTCCCGGCTTCTGCACGTCGAGGACCCGCCCGGCAGTCGTCGAGCCGTCGCCTCGCCTCGCTTTGGGCACACAGCACCCTCGGAGCCCCAGGCCCTTCCTGAGGCCTTTTGACTGCTTATATGATCATGCAGCATGACTACTCAGGAATTCATGCTTGTTCATTCATTCCGGGCTCTAAGACTCTATGCTTTGTTGGGACCCGTCAACAACTGCAATCTGCCGGATGCTGCCAGGTCACCAGCATCAGGACTTAAAGTGGAGTTTTTCGGAGTGTCGAAACTCTGCTGTGATAGCACAAGACATAAGCTTCCTGGGCTGCGCTGGTACATATTCCTCTCGACAGTGCAGGAAGCAGACGAAAGGCTCGAGTCTAAGTTCAGTTGTGCCGATTGTCGATATGGCCTGACCAGATTTCTGCATTCGAGGGGCCGGAAAGCCGCAGTTTGGCGCCACAAAGGCCGGACTGTGTCACGCTTGCATGAGCCAAGCTTCACAGCAGCGCTGCTTCAGTCCCGACGCGTTTGGTTGCCCTTTTTCGCAGGCTGGCGCCAGATGCGCGCGGCTCTCCAGCCAGACATGGTGGTCAGGCAGACTGCAGCGACGGTGCGTGACCGTAGGGCGGGGGAACATTAAAACCTGCTCAGTGAAACGGTCGGGATGGCGCTCCAAAAACTACTCTAAGGGGCAGCGGGCAGCGCTCGCACGACATGTTGCAGATGTTTTGTCCGGCGTGTCAAAGGCGCGTTCCGGTGGCTACGACGGTCACGACCTCGATGTCGACTACAGGCTTAGGACGACGCATCCTGTCTTGACCTGGAATTTGTCTGGCACCGAGGCAGAGCGTCGGATGCCGACAGAGAAGGCTTCGCCGAGATTCGCCGAGCCGATGTCGTGGCTTCGTTGAAGAGTTCTTTCCGCTGCCTTCCGCGCAAGGCAAGTCACCCGTTCAGGGAGCCACACTTCCGGAGCCATGGACCAGGCATCGATGCCAGCTTCAATCAAAGCCGCCATTTGCCAGCAAGCCCTTCACAGCCTGGCCTGAGCACTCTCTGAAGCTCCAGCCACGAACCCTCAACCTTGCTGTGCAGCACAGCTCAGCGCCCAGCATGCCAAGATCGACCCGTCTATGCCTGAAGAAGCCATGCGTAAGCGGAGTACTGCGTGCAAGCCCATGTTCCACTTTGGTCAAAATGTCCTGAAAGAAGAGGGTCTTGGACGGGAACATGCGCCAACTCCACGACTCGCAACGGGAGAACACCCATGGACAGACATCCCTGTCCCTGCAGCAATTTGTTGTTGCGAGTGGGCGTCTTTCGAGTGGAATCCCTCTCTCTTGCGGAGTGATGTGAGACACGCCAAGATTGCAAAAAGCGGGGCCTTTGTGTTGCACAGCTCGGCGGTCAGGCGTCTGGCCAACACGATGATTCTGCACACTGTGCAGAATTCAATGCTGTGGGCTGAGCAGCAAACGCGATCTTTCGCGCGAGGGTTGTCGGTATGTCGAGGTCTTTGCTGCACTGTTGTGATCTATGATTCTTTTTCGAACTGCGTCTGCACTGCTAAGAGCAGCCATAAAGGCGGCCATCAACAGCACTTGCTGCAAAGAACGGCGCTTTGAGTAAAAAGCTTAGGCCCTAGACCTTAAAGAAGAAGCCAAGGTCTGCAGGAACCCTAAACCCTAATACGACTTTTCCCGCGACGGTCCTCGTACCAAGGATCCTTGCAACATACCTCCTGGAGCTTCTCACAAGTGGCTCCTCTTCCGCAAATAGGCGCAGACCCCCAAGAGTAGATCCAAAAAGTAGATCCCATTTTGGGGGGTTCCTATAAAGTACCCTTAGTAGTAGTATAGGGCCCCAATTAGGGGATCTACTTTCTAGATCCTCCCGGGGGTCTGGGTAGGAAGCGCACGCGGGCCTGCTAGGTCTAGGTGCGCCACGTCGGATTGAGGATTCTCACAGCAGGGGGAAAGTTCAGCCAGTCATCTCTTTGAGGGCCTGGAGCTCCTGCCCTTGTGGAATTCCGTGCACCCTGGTACTCCGAGGCTACGGCGCCAGGAGCGCTTTGCACATCGCTTGCTGGGAGGGATCCGTGTCGGCGGTGCAGGCAGGCATTTGTGAATCTGGAAAACTGATCCGTCTGTCAGGCTTTCTGCTAGGCCGCTAGACGTGCTGGGCCTCCAATTGTGGGAAAGCGCGCTGCACTTCACATAGGATGCGCCAAAGAACGTGAGCGAATCGCGCTTTCTGCAGATCCGTTCGTCTGCGGATATGGTGAGGGGGTGTCCAAAGATATCTCTCGCATTTTGGGGCCGCTCGCCTCTGATCTCTCCTGCAATTTTGGCAGATCTCGTTTGGTCGGGAGGAGGACAACACCGGCACACATTGCTCATCATTCCTTTTTACTCTGATCTTTACCTCAGCTCAAGGTCAGAGCTCTTCCGAAAGCTGTTGCGGGTGTCGCAGGTCGTCGCCAACGGCTCAAAGAAAGCCGTTCAAGACTGGTCCAACCCTCAGGCTGAGGATGACTCTGGGTCGCTTGCTCGAGGGATGCTGGGGGTGAGTGGTGCTTTGCTTGCAGTGTGCTTGCGGTTTCAGTCCACGGCGGATCGCAGAAAAAGCTGGAATCTAGCACGAAAATCCGGCCAGACTTCGGGTCCGGTCTGGTGCAGTTTCTGCTTCTTTTCGGAGATCGGAACTGTTGGCGCATGGAATGCGGATGATGGAGAAGTGTATGCCACAGAAAGATGTGAGATGTAGCCCAGCTGATTGTGCTCCGGGGCAGTTCACAAAGCACATGAAAATATATATGCAGTGCTATCTTCGCTCTGAGGCACCAGCGCAAGGGAGATTTGACTCCACTGCACATTGCCGCGATTTGCAGCCATGCGGAGGTGCCCGCTGCTCCACTCCACGATGCCTTGCTGCGATGAAAAGAAATGCATCCAGCAGTCTACCGCCTACATCGTCGATGTTTTGCTCGGTCAGGTTGCTGAGCTTCTGCTGGGCTACGACATCGATCCGGACATCAATACCGTGCGGAGCCTTACTCGCAATGCTTCTATAGCAGGAATTACGCGAACGCGCGTCGTAGGGAAAGTGTCAATTCTCGCAGTTTGCTGATCAGAGGTTTCATTGAGCAACACGCGGCAAAGTGACACGCAACATGTGCGCTCCAGGAAAGGCTCGTCAGGAATCGCGGAACTTCGATGACGACCACAGGCCCAAATCTTCGACTATTTCCAGGACAGCAAGGATGAAAAGATTGCTAGGATGATAGAGGATACGTGCAAGGGCAGCTGCAGTTTCACGATCGCCAGCACGGTAGGCAACACAATCTCTCTCTCTCTCTCTCTCTCTCTCTCTCTCTCTCTCTCTCTCTCTCTCCTTCCCATGGCGCATGATGGCTGTCTTGGTGTTCCTGTGACATCGACGTGTCGTGTCTCGCAGTATTGCCAAGACATCGTGTTGGTCGCAAACCTGCGAAAACTGCTGCATATCAAAGGGTTGCGCGCCGCTTTCCGTTTGCCACCGGATCAATCGACATGTCCGACGTGTACAAGACACTGCCCGGGCTGAGCCCAGGTGCATCAGCTGCGGTCGCTAGTCCCCCAGAAACAGTGGAGTCGTGGCCGGACAGATCAGACCGGTGCGCATGGCTTTCAGGCTTCACATCTCTGCTACCTCCAGCACTGATCTTTGTGAAGTGCTGGTGTCTAGTCGAGCAGACATCACAGCACGCACGGCGGATCAGGACTCCAGAGCACAAGTGGCAGTCTTGGAAGGTTTGCTTGACAGGGTTCATCTGGCAGGATACCCCACTCCACTTTGCAAATTGTTTCCAGCAGCTGGACACCATCGAGCTGCTCTTGAAAGCAGGCGAGGCAATTTGGCTGAAGACGTGGCGACCATACAGCATACGATGGGAAGAAACTGCGCCGCATGCCACAAGACGTAGTGTGGACTATCCAGTCTCCTGAATCCTGAATGTGGGGGGAAGTGAAGTGTATTGAGATGTTAGGAAAGTGCTGTTTTTTGACACTTGACGGACTTGAGTTCAGGCGCAGATGCCTCGGCCGCGAACAACTTCGGCGTGGTTCCGCTGCATGCATCCCGACTGCGCCCAGCAGGGAAAACACAATGCTAAAACCCTTCGGGAAGTAGGCCTGAAGAGAGCTTCTCATGCGCATGCGAGAGAGTGTTGAAGGCAGTCAAGGGCAGGAGCTAAGAACCCACTCAGAACTCGTGCTGCACCCAAACTGCAAGCGGAAAATCGCTTGCCGAACTCGTCAGCAAAGCTGCTTCGTGGCTTGTCTGCCCGGTAGACTTCTGTGAATGAAACAGGTAGCTGTGGCTTATGCCGGCCTTGAGCGGCTGGAGTTGCGAGAGGCCGAAGTGATACACCTGATGTGCCTTCCGTTTGTAGTTGAGGTGCAATGTGCCAGGCTTTGGCAGGTTTCACGGCATCGGCATAGATGATGAATAGAGCGGCTTCAGGCTAGTGCCGTCAGTTCTGGGCTGGGCAGGCGAAGGCGACGCTGCTGCTTTGCGCCTATGGTGCCAAACTGGATGCCAGGCACGGTTGAGCTTGGACAAAATAGCCGCGAAGCTCAGAATTGCACAGCGCAGGCGTTGTTTGTCAGAAAGGATCACCGAAGCATGGACTCCCTCCAACATCGTTTTCAATGCGTCTCACACGCGAGGGACCATCATGGCCACACCCCTGCGGCCGTGGCCCGGATGGCAGGCAGCCCGCGCATGGTTAGGGAAGGGTGTGTGAGAGAAGGTTCCCTTGGCACGGCTCCGAGCGACGAGGCGCTCACAGCTCCTTGATCGACTTCCTCGAGTCCGCAAGTCTGGAGCCCGGAGTCCGGCCGCAGCACTGCGCCGCATCCGACTTAAGCTTCACTTCTGGGGTTTATAGGGGACCTCGGAAGCAGATCTTCGGTGCGTGAGCGGGGGGGGAGGCGGACTTTCGGAGCAGGAGCCGGACGATGGCAGCTGGGTCCCAGTCTTGTCACCGTTCGTTTATTTCCAGTTACAGGAACTCCCTTGTTGCTCTCATCAGCGAATCTGTTTAGCTATCTATTTACGTACAAAGAAATGGTTGTACATATGTGTATAGGCCCCGCCGCTTTCGACTTGACGGAAGTGGCAGACTGCTCAAGCCGGAAACCAGAACTGTGACAGAACTCGTCGACTTTCTTCTTTAATTTGGGGAAGGGTGGAGGGGGAGGGCGGAAGGAGATGCGTCGGAGGAGGGGGGGCCGGGGCGATAGAGCGTGAGGCCTGTGGGCCCGGATCTCACCAATACGACTGTCATCGACTGTCATACTTCATAATTCACATCACGAACCTCGGTGAATTTCAGTTAATGCTTCTGCAGCCCTGATTTATGCCAAAAAGGTGGTAAATGGACTCTTAGGTTATTGATAGATCTTCTGGCAAATTCTGGCACATGTTCCTGAAGCTCTAAAGTTCCAAGACAGGTTCTGTGATGTCTCAGCGAAAATTTTGTTTGATTATGACAGCTTTTCAAAGCACAGAACATCTTTTCAACACAACGCCATCCATTGTGCGGGAGAGTGGAGCGTGTGTCGTCGGTGGAGAGGTAATGCATAACGACCCGTCCAAGCCTGGTTATGGTTCGGGACTTTGCGGATAACGAGTGTCAAGAGGTCGTAGAGACGACGGTCTATTATCCACAACCCTGTTTCAAGCTCCATTAGAACCCTTGCGTATCCTGCAAGTTTCACATTTACACAGATTGCTTTCTCAAGTTTTCCCGTCTTCTCATAAACAAGTTTAGGTTTAGGTCATGAACCACAACCCTGGTTTACCCGTGGGTGCACAATCCGAAAAACAGTTAAGCGATGAGAAGTTAGAGTGCAGGGCCCATGCTTTTGTGCCCTAGCCACTAACCATCAAACGTGCAGATCGTTAAGCCAATGCCGGCTTGCAAGCAGTTCTGCAACCTGGAGCAAACGTGAGTAACCTTTAAAGTTCAACAACTGCAAAAGTTCAATGTTGAGGTTTTCATTTTGAGCTTTTTTAATTGAACATTGATGGTTCATGAGCGTTTTTTCTTAGAGAGCGGACCATGCTCAACCTTCAAACCAAGGAAGAGAGGTTTAGCAGGCCAAAGAATGTGGATGAATGAGATGCAGCTATACAACCAGCAAGTATATGCAAGTTATATGCGCATAATGAAGAAGACATAGCAATATGTGCGTATGTATATATACACGCACATATTCATGTTTGTGTATATATGCCTTTATACCTCTATCCTATATACATAGACATATTCACAGATTACGTTCATGACTCGCCTTACTCTTACCGGCACTTGCAGCAGTAGTAGCCGTAGTAGCCAGAGAAGCAGCAGGACAAGAAGGGGGAGCAAATGCAGTGCCAGTAGTCAAAGTAATAACGGCGTGTAGCTTATTGCTCAGCCCACGCTGGTAAGGTGAGGACCATCAGGCGACTGCACAGGATTTGCTGAATGCTGTGGACGAGGTGCCTCAGTGTGTGGCAAAGGCTCAAGTCCACAAAGTCTTGCGGTTGTTCCAAATGGGCATATGACATACGGTTCTGATTCTTTGCAGTCACTGCCTTCGGTTTGTATTGGTGTGTGGCTGGTCTTGAGTTTATCAAGAGGCCGAGACAGCATTTC